TCGCATTAGCACATCAGGTGCCCGCAAAGTGACTGCTTCATCCAGAGGTACCTCTTGGTACTGTGGGGGGTCTGCGGGGTGTAGCTCCACGCCGCCCACTGGGAGAGCCTGCTCCCCGGGTTCTTCCTCTGTGCCAGGGCCACAGCCCCCAGGGCCCCCACCTGCAGGCTCCAGCGTGTAGGCCAGTTCAGCCCTTGTGGTGGCAGTTTGGGAGAACCAGTGAGAGGGGAACTCCAGTTCCACCACACAAGCACCCAGAGCCGGCTGTAAACACAATGAAGGCAAAGGTTGCGATTGGCCCAAGGAAGGGTGGAAGGGAATCGGTCTCCCATTGGCAGAAAAGCCTAAGCTGGAGAGGTCTATGAAAGGCAGAACCAAAGATGTTTCTCATGTGCCACAATAAACTAGGGACCCGCCATGTCTAGGGCTAGGAATACTGTAGGCCACTCTTCTGATGTCTGGAACAGACATCTCGACCACATCCCAGGACCTACCTAGAGCTCAGAATATCAGAGCAAGGAACAGACCTCCCCTGTGGGTCTTTGCGCCCAACTCCACAATAGTAGAAATAAAAGTCACAGATGGCTCTGTTACAGTGACTCTTACATTTGTCTCATTTATTTCTTTTCCAGCTCCCAATAGGTGGGAACTGTTGTCAGTCTGTTTTATAGATGAGAAAAAACAAACAAACAAACAAAAAAAAAACCAAACTGAGCCTCAGAGACATTAAGTTATGTGCCCAAAGTCATACACCATGGACTGATATCCTTAAGGGAACCTCTCCTAGGGCTATCTGGAACCAAAACGGAGTTGGGTGTCTCATGCCCCTAGACTTCCCAGACTGTAGGAGAGTCCTTTCCTCTCCACCCTGGCACCACACGTGCATGGCACAGCAGCAGAAACAACTCACTCACCTGGAAGCGGCAGGCTTGGTGGGCCGTGCCTGCGGGATGTGTGGCATGCAGTCGGGCACAGGGCAAGCTGCCAGGCCCTGGCGGCCAATCCTGCCCTTTGAGGTGGAAGAGGACACGGGCGTAAGGCTCTGCTGGGGTCACAGCTGCTTCCACTGAAACAGCCCGCACATCCCAAGGGACAGGTCGCCGGTGGGGCTCCGTGACCCTAGGAGGAACCACCTGAAAAAAGAACGAGGGTGCTTAGCTGCAGGGTGGGGAGAAGAGGCAGACACCGCGATGGCCAGGCATGGGAAGGTGGGCTTCTAATCTCAGTGTGGCAGATTAGGGGGCCTCAGTCTTCCTGCGTAGAGAATGGGAAAAGCCATACCCAATCTTGCCTGGTTTCAGGAGTTAAGCAGGATTGGGCCTGGTTAGTGCTTGAACAGGAGAATAAGAGGAGCCCAGGACCCCAAACAGCAGAACTCATGAGTCCCTGGGAGTCCCTGGGCCCTAGCCTTACCTGCTGAGTGGCAAAAGGTGGGTAGGAGGCCCGGAGAAGAGGCTGTGCCCTGGGCCAGGGCTGCAGGAGCAGGAAGGTCTCAGAACGGGAGCCCAGAGAAGAGTTGCCAGGTGGGTAGTGGCCCACCTGCTGCACACGAAAATGCTCAGGGGCATCCAGGAGCTCCAGGGCCACTGGCAGGTAGATGGGGTCCAGGGTGTCTTGGTTACTGCCAACTGAAGAGGAATAAGGGTTAGATATGGGATGGCTCTGGAGCTAGCAGAGGTAGAACTGAGCTCCATCCTCACTGTGGGTCTCGGCAGGAGACGGAGAAATGGACTACCAATGTGCTGTATCCCAGATGTAGAGAAGAATCCCATTTTACAGATGAGGTGACCGAGGTTCAGGGAGCCTCACAAAGAGTTTGAGAAGCAGGGATCGGACGTAAACTTCCCAGCCAGTCTTTCTACTTTCCACAGACCTTGCCTCTGTCTCCAACAGAGCCTTTTTAATTTCTCCCTACATGTGCCTGCTACCCACCTGCCTCAGACACAGGGCATCTGGAAGGTAGGACTCCTGTACTGGTGTCTACTCAGTAAAAGACAGACTGTGAGTTGAGCTTTGTAGAAAAGGAGGCTCTTTCGTTGTGTCTGGGTCCTTTGGTGTACTTGGTTGGACACCCCCTCCAAGTCCAGTTATTGCCATGGCACACCCACACCAAATATTCAAACTTGATCCCTTCTTCTCTGCCCCAGTTGGGGCTTGGGGTTCAGGAGTGAGACTTGGGGAGGGTACCACAGAGGTCCATAAGGCTACTGGCACTCACTAAGGGTAGGAGCCATAAGCCTGAGGAGATGGAATATTCAATCATAAAAACCACAAAGGCCCACTAAGGCTATATTGATTTGTACTACAGTCCCTAAAGAGTAACAATTTTTAAAGCACTTAACCCCACACAGATTCATTTTACATGCATTAACTCTTTCAGCTCTCTCACAGTTCTGTGGATTAAGTTCTATTACTACAATCCCTACTTAATGGATTTAGAAACGTTCTCCAGCCTGCGGTGGACCCAAGAGACCAGTGAGGAATTCACCGCCAGGCTACCCAGCCTTTCCATCCAATGCAACAAACACCATTATGCCACATGGGCTTCACTCTCCCAACTGTGCCTCCACTGTCCTTCAGGGCCAAGAGCAAAAGCTGCCTCCTCAAGGAAGACTTCTGTGGTCATTTAACCCCTTGCTAGACTCCTTGTTCCGGCTCTGCTTGCTGCACTCCCTTTCTGGGATCGGGAACAATCCTCCCTTGCCTCCAGAGTTCCTGGAACCACAAGCACAGACGATGTGCCTGGCTGTCTTACTCATTCTGGAATTCCCTCAACTCTTCCTGGAGAGGTTTCCTGGAAGCCCAGAGAGCTGACTTTTGTGTCATAGCTGTACTCCATGAAAGACTGGCCAGTCACCAACATCTTGGGGCCTAGGTTTCCTCAGCGGTAAAAGGGTTGGGAGTATTTCGTGACCCTGTGGGCAGGAGAGGGCTTTGTAAATTGCTGTAGAATCCCATGGGAAGTGAGATCGTTGGTGAGCAGAATGGCTGTGACAAAGCTTTCCTCCCTCCCCTCACTGTGGATGGTTATTACGGTTTCCACTGCGTCTGCAGGTTGGGGAGCAGGTGCCCGAAACAAGTTCCAGAACCAGCTCCCTCCCAGCCACACAGCTGAGCTGGGTTGGGGGGGGGGTCTCTTCCCTGGAGCCACCATCACCACCCCCATATCCCTGAGGGTAACAAGTGAGTGACTGCCCGCCCTTGGGGTGACTCCGGTCCACCTTCTAATTCACTGCTTCCATAATTACAAGATGCTCAGTAGCCCTACTCCCACGGGCTCCCATGGTCTCCCATCACGGGAGTCCCGCTCTCTTGATGGGGCAGGAGGATGGGGTGCTTCACCATCTCCCGTCTCCCATAGCATATTCCATCTCATGTCAGGCACGAGGTAGCTGCTGCCCCCTTACCCAGTGATGGGTACACCCAGAAGGGCTCGGAAAGACAAGACGCCAAGGTCAGAGATCTCCTTGGGACACGGAGAGAGATGCACATCTCTCGGGTCCCGGGCAAAGGGGTTGTTTTGCATTCCTGTGACTCGCGGGCAGGCTGGTGGGGGCTAAAACAGCAGGTTGGGGGGGTGCACCGGGAAGCGGGTTAGAAGACGGGGCTGGAGAGGAGGCTTACAGAGGAGTTGGGACCCGGCAGGTGAAGATGGGCATGACGAGACTTTAGGCTCAGGTAGGAGTATCCAGGTGGTGCTCAGGGAAGAAGGCAAAAGAGCAGCTAGCTGGGAACCGGTTTCCCAAGGTTGGCCCTCTCCAGGACACCGCTCTGGGTTTAGTTCTAGGAACTAACAGCTTCGGGGACATCACTGGCACACGGCCTCGGCCGAACTGGGTCGCCCCTCCCCTCCCTTCCCGCTGACCTCTCACGACTTCCAGGGCGAGGGCCACCAGGAGGCAGAGCCAGGCACCGTAGGGCCCCCGAGGGGCCGCAGCCGCGCATCCAGTCATAGAGGCGCACATCCTTTCCACCGAAGACGGGTTCCAGGCGCGCGGCTCAGGTGGCTGCTATCCGGCCCGCATCTCCCGCGCCTGCACCGCGCCGGCCCCTCTGGCCAGCCAGTTGCCAGCGCCGCCCGCCCGCGGCAGCAGTTCCCAGACAATGGAGCGGGAGCAGTAGGGTGGGAGGGAACGCAGGCACATGGGCTGTCCCCTCAGTCCTGCCGGGTCCTAGTGCCCTTCGGATCCCAAACCCAGAGCGCCCCCCCCCGCGCGCGCCTAAAGTCGGGAAGAAGTCCCCCCTGGAGACTGTGCAGATTGAGGGCCTCTGCCAGGAGGCACAAGGTGAATTCTTCTGGGATTTCTTTTGGAAACTGATTATCAAAGAGACAAGAAAAATCAAAAAACCCAAGAAACGTTTCCTCTGCTTCATGCCCTCCTCACAAGCATCTCAGCTGTAAAGACATCTCTCTTTAGAAGCAGAGCTAGAATTCAGGGACATAGGGGAACAGAGCTGCGCTCAGGGGGGCGGAGAGGGGGCGCAGAAAAGGAGAGGCCAAACCAGGCAGGATGACAACCCTGAGCTGTTCTGTGGAGACAGCTTGTTTCCTGTTCAGCCCCACCCAACGAAGAAGCCCAAAAGGGACCCTTCTGAGGAAGACCTGACTTTGGGTCCCGCCCGGCTTTGCCCCCAGGTAGTGTTGGGAGAGATCCAGAAGAGCTGGTATCTCCATGGCAACCAAAAGAGGAAAAAGCAGCACAGACATGCCTGGGCCATCCACAAAACAGCAGAACCACCTGGAGCCACAGTGAAAACCTTGGTGCGGTAAATTCCTGAGTCTGGGAGGGAAAGTTAGTCTTCGTAGGCTCCCCAGGCCAGCAGGCACCCCAAGGGAAGGAGCACCTTCCCCAAACTGCTGCCAGATCTGCAAGTTTTACAAGAGTGTGCATGCCTCCCTCCAAGATCCTGGGGGAAGGGCTACCAGTACAGCCTGCCTTCCTGAGCCTCCTTTCCTTCCAGCAGTTTCCTGCTAGAGAAGAGAGTCTGAAAGTAGAGACTTTGAGTAGATCCATTTTATTCAGAGGAAGATAATAAAATAGCGTGCACTTTATTTAAAACCAACCAAGCGCTGATAAAAATATGTATCACTGCAGTCATGATTCCACATCAAACCTTATCAGTCAGCATTTACTTTTCACATCTTGTGCTGGACCTGGCACAGAACACCTCCAAAAAGGTCCGAAAGGCCAAGGCCGAGAGTGAGCAAGAGCCCTGGTGACGAGGGTTAGTTAGTGGCAGGTTCCCTCTGGGCCCCTGGAAGAGATCAGGGCAGGGCCATGCTCTTCCCCACTGCTGGGAGACAACACTGATCAGCAGTTGCCGGGGATGGCAGAGAGTGGACAGGAGGAGAAATACAAGACATTGGGTCCTCCTGACATTTTTGAGGTCCCTGAAATCCCCAAAGGGCATTTGACAGTCCCCACAGGGCCCCTAGCTGCAGGACAGTTAGCCTGGCTGCAAGAGTTGGGATTCTGCAAGGGACTACTCTTTCTGAACACAAAGGAGCCATAGCACACTTTCCTACATTCAGTGTGGCAAGGGCAGTTGGAGGGTGCTGTTGACTCCCACTAAGGCACTTGTAACAGAACCCAGATGCACAGGCCTCCAAGGACCCTGTTTCTCCCATAGCCTTGGGCCTAGCATCTCCCGCCCTTCCCACTGCTGTGCAATGAGGAAGACCACGAGGGTCTTTAGGGACTTGGGGTGGTGATGTGATGGGAGTCCGAGTCGGAAAAGAGCTGGGGTGTGGTGACGCAGGAGCTTCAGCCTGGAAAGGCCTTTTGTAAGGAAGCCGGGCAGCAGCAGGTTAATCATCATGAGATCAGTGGCAGTGGTGCTGGCTGAGACAGAAGCCCGGGGCTGAGGCCCCTCCAACCCGCCCTGGGGGACGCAGGCTGGGAGCAGAAAAGGGGTAGGGAGCCATCCCTTGACTGAGCACCTGCAGAAGGCAGGTTCTCTTCTCTCAGCTAGGGACTAGTGCAGGGTCAAAGTGTCAAGGGTTCAGACACAAGGCAAGGTAAGGGCAGGGGGCTGCAAGGAGGGCCACGAGACCCAGAAGCAGCTCAGCTCTTTGGTATGGTGAGGGTGCCACTGTGGGACATCCCTGTCATTCTTCCTCCATACTCCGGGGTGCCTTGGCCGCTCGCCTCTGCCTCCCTCGAAGTTCTTCTATCTGGCGCTCCAGCCCTCTCACCTTAGCTTCCAGATGTGCCCCTGAGCCCCTGGAGCCAGTGAGCCGGCTCAGCAAGGCAAAGAGAGTCAGCAAGGCCAGGAGCATCAAGGCCCGGGTGGAGGGGTCGGGCACAGACCTCACCAGGCCCACAAAACCAGCCACAAAGAGGACAAGCTTCAGACCCCCCAGGATCCGCCCTAGCAAGGCCAAGACCAAGCCTAGGAGCCGGGACAGCAGCCAGTAGACGACCAGTGCTGCTGCTCCCCACAGTAGAAGGGTCTGGACTTGGCTGGGGCTGAGCTTCAAGCCCTGGGTGAGATATTCACCTGAAAAGGAAAAGGACAGAGTCAGCAACCTAGAGTCGTGGCGAGAAACGGTGAAGCGGGAGGGGCAGTGGCCTTGCAGAAGCCCAGCCCGCCGTTACAGGCTCGGGAGACAGGTCTGAATCCCAGGCTCCTGGCTGGGGGCTCCTGGAGGACTACTTCTCTTGTGGAGACGGAGTTTATTTATTATACGAGGACAGTGGATCTGTCTTCCAGGGCTGTGGTTAACCAAAGAGGTAATATCACACCTTTGCGCAATGTTCAACAAGCAAACCCCAGGGACAGAGGGAAGAATCTCTAGCCTCCCCTCGACTGTACTTCTCTGGGGATGTCTGCAAACAGCTGGGGGAGTGTCTAGCCCCACACAGATAAACTCCCACCAACAGTAAGGTCAGACACAGCCTGGCCATCTAACTCTCTGCCACTCACCATCTAGCCCCAGGGCACTCAACAACTGGGCAGCAATCCCAGACAGGGCAAAGCAGGCCACAGAGATGGCTGATGAGATGGCCCACATCACCTGTAACAGGGTCTGTGAAAGAGACAAATCCATTATGAATGAGGCTCTTCTCCTCCGGCCTGGTCCTCACAACCTCCAAACTAACTGCAGGGAGATCCCTGACCTGGGTTTGGGTCAAAAGTGCACGGACTCTGAGTCTGGTGAGGGGGCCCTTCGGCCATGCCTCCTTCCTGACCCAGGATCCAGGACATCTGAGGCAGACTTCTGTTGGTCAGCCAAGATGTTCTGGAGGTGGCAGGAGGTGCACTGGTGTGTGAAAAGGGGAAATCACCATAGCCCACATTAGCCCGCTGTTAAACTGGAGGCCTCCAAGCCTAGGGAAGCAGGAAGGTGTGCGAAAGAATGTCCACGCAGGGCTGGGACATGTGTGAGAAAAGGGGTCGATGGGCTGCACTACACTGTGGATCTGTATGTGTGTCTGCATGTGTGCCCTCGCAGGCCCATCATGGGTTTGTGTGTGTCTGCATGTGTGCCCTCCCTCACAGGCCCATCATGGATTTGTATGTATCTGCATGTGTGCCCTCACAGACCCACATTGTGGATTTGTGTGTGTGTCTGCATGTATGACCTCAAAGGCCCACATTGTGGATTTGTGTGTGTGTCTGCATGTATGACCTCAAAGGCCCACATTGTGGATTTGTGTGTGTGTCTGCATGTGTGCCCTCGAAGGCCCATCATGGGTTTGTGTGTGTCTGCATGTGTGCCCTCCTTCACAGGCCCACCTGGAGACTGCAGGCTGACAGCAGGATGCCTTCCTCAATTCTCCACTGGATTTTTAAAAGATTTTATTTTTGTTTACATATCCGTGTGTTTGTGTATGTGTATGAATATGTGGGGGGTTGGGTGGGGATGCGACCAAAGAAGCCAGAAGAAAGTGTTGGATTCCCTGGAGCTGGAATTACAGTCAGTTGTGAACCACCTGAGGGTAGTTGAAACCAAACTCTAATATTCTGCAAGAGCAACAAGTATTCTTAAATCCTGAGCAGCCTCTCCAGCCTCTCTATTTGTTGAGACAGGATTCTTACTAAACCTGGAGCTCTAGTTTTTGCTAGCCTGGCATGCCAGCAAGCTCCTGGTGTCTGCCTGTCCTGCCCACCCCACTTTCCCACTCCGGAAGTTACAGACACTGACACCATGCCCGGTCTTCACACGTTCTGGAGATTGGAACTCCGGTCTGCGTACTTGCATAGGAAGCACTTGACCCACTGAGCATTTCCCCAGCCCTGTACTGCGGATTCTATAAACCGCTGTCTGGGCACTTCGGTATGAACCATCAGAAGGGGCCCCACACGAGAAATGGCACTGGGTGAAAGAACCACGCCAGGCATAGGCCCTTCATGAGCCCTGTCTCACTTTTACAGATGGGAACTTAGACTCCGCTCTCTCTACTCTGCCAGTTTAAGATGCTAGGTCTGACTCAGTCCTCACTAACATGCGTTTATAATAGTAGGGCATTTTGTAGCCTTTCTGGCCCAATGGACAAAAGCTGGAAAAAGACGGGGTGGTGCTAAAAGGTAAAAACCAGGCAATCAGCCAGCAAGCAAGCAGCGGGACTGCCAGGTTGTATTTGTGGAAGGTGGAGCTCTCCAGAGTGGGGCCTAGGACAGAGAGGTTGTTGTGGCAAGGTAAGGTGGCATTGACAATGTCTCTCCATTTGTTTATGCACACAGCCACTAGCGGTGTTTGTTTTTAGTTGTTGTTTTAAGCTACAGCTATCCTAGTCAGCAACTGTAACTCTGCTGCTATCAGCAGCATTTAGGCTGCAAGAGCCCAAAATCTGAGGGAATTTTGTTCCCTCAGGCATCGACTCTTTCAAAGCTACTAAGAAGTCTTATTTAAATCTCTGTTCCACCAAAGAACCCAAGTTCAAAGGTTGAGGTAAAATTCTGCTTCTCAGACAGGCTGAATAGCAAGCAGCTCACCTAGTTCACCTCCTTGCATCTCTGGAGAAGTCCTTGTGCATTTTTTTCTATCCCCTTCTTAGAAACCCTTCTTCACCTGACTCCTCCCTACAACTTCCTGTCAGCAAGTTGCTCACCCACCCTCCTGGTGGCAGGGGAGTTTAATTTAATCAAACACATCTTTGCATCATTAAACAAATGTTCCAGGCCATAAACAAAAGTAACGCACCTTAAAATAATATTCCACAACACTACAGCACCTTCCTTACCTCTGAAACCACATGCATGGTCTCTGGTCCCAGCCAGGTATCCAGCGTCTCTTTCAAAGATCGGCCAATCTGGGTCAAAAGGTCAGCTGAGGCCTCCCTCTTCTGCTGGCCAGGTGAGTCTCGATAGGACTGGGATGATGACGAGTGGAACAGGAGGAGGACCACTAGGACAGCTTTGAACACATGCCTGCTCCATGATGGACTGCCGTGTGAGCCGGCCATGTTTGCGTCTGTCAAGAGAGGGTCACAAGGTAAACAATCGGTGATCCAGACCCGATGGATACTTTTACTCTCCCAGCTGATCTGTTATTCCCTTCTCCACCCCCTGGTCCACAGTAAGCATCCCAGTCAAACCTAAAAAGAGCTGTGTGCTGAAGAAAAAAAAAAAGAGGAAACAGGACTTCAGCTCTAAGCTGGCATAATCATCTGATTCACAGTTTCAAAGTAGGCAAGATCTCACTGCAGCCGATTCCTCCAGGGCTAAAATCTGAAGGCCTGTCTCTACGTAGGTCTTAGGCACCATGGACATGAGCGAATTATAAGTCTCTAAAGGCTTCATCCCAAGAAGCTTATAGTGTACTGAAGACAAAGCTGATAGACAAGTGTAACTTAAAAATAGCTGGTAAGTAGGATTACCACTGTAAAATAAAACTCTGTTAACAGAGCATACAAGAATGACTGCCTTTGCAACAGTATCTCAGCAGGGCTGTTTTGCAAGGTGGTTTTTGTCCCTGGCCCCTGTGGGCATAGACATGAGGAAACAGTCTGCAGATGAGCACTTGTGCAAGGTCGCTGGGTTTAGAAGGATTTCAAGCGAAGCCTCTGCTTCCAAATCCTACCCTTGCCTAGGGGTCAGAGTGTTCAGTGGATCTCAAACAGGGCTCGGTGGCATCACCTGAAAGTGGCACAAAGTGCCAATATCTGTGTCCAAGCACACTGGTTCTAATGGCATTGTCTCTCTATGACCTGGTCTTGGGCATGAGCTCCTCAATGATTAGACTATCCAAAGTTGAGAACCATTCTAAGAATATAGGGAAGGGCTAAACTCTTGTTTCTCCTAAACTTTCACTCAACGGTCCACATAAGATTTGTGCTTATTTGTGTGAGGTTTTTTTGTTATGTTTTTTTCTGTTCTCATCCCCAGCAAGCAAGCAATCCATTCCGCACTGGACATCTTCTAATTCAACTTGGTTTTGACACTACCTACTTGGAGGCAGAGTCACATCCATTTGCCTATTTGGGAGTGGGAAGTTGAGGTCATTCTGTGTCAATGGCTATGATACAGTGTACACAAAGACACAGACACACAGACACACACACACACACACACACACACACCAGCAGTTTGGTTTTCATCTATCCTTTCTGGCTTAGAGCTCACAAATCTCACATAACTTAATACAAGGAAAGAACAAAAAATATTTTGTCAAAATAAACAGCCTTTTAGCCAGCCTCTTGCAACATCTTCAGAGGATGAAGGGTGAAAGACAGCCCTTTCCAACATACAGTTTATGTTAATAAGACAAATTTTAGAGATCTCCCCAGATAACCTTAGGATTAGAGGGGTAATTGCCAGCGGGACCAACCATGTCTTAAGAGTGATAAGACTTTCATCCTCAACCTCTGAGGAAAAAGGGTGGCTAATGATTGCATTGATTCCCATGACTAATGGTTTGGTTGAACACAGCTATATAATATGCCCATTCATTGGTGGGTTTTCCTTTCCAAGGTTATTTCCTGTTCTTTTGCCCACTGATATATTACTAACATCTGAAGAGATGCTGTACCACAATGATTAAAATGTTAGCTGTTGTGGGGGGGGGCAGGTAGCTCAATGACAGACAGATGGCTTGCCTAGCATGTGTATAGCCTTAGGTTCAAGCCCTAAAACAGGTAGGTAAATAACTGCTAAATAAAGTTTATATTTACAGAATCCATAACTTCTGGTGATTATTTGGATGTGAAATACCTTTCCTTGTTTTTTTAATCCCGTGCTTCAACTAATAAGAAACATGTAAATAAATGGCTGTGAAGTCTAACTTATAGACAAGTAATGTCTATCTAAAAATTATAGGAACCAGCCCCAGGAGGTTGAAGTCAAGGTCTATCATGATGTTCTTGCTAGAAGGAAAAAAAAGAGGGAGCTGCATGCCTTGGATAAGAAGACTCCACTCAGCATGTTATCACCCCCACCCCCACCATATTTCACTCTCTACAAAACCCTTTTATATATCTGCACTCCATAAGACGGAGATTTGAGGCCAGCAGGCCCCTGTTTTCTCAGAGGCAGGCCCTGAATGAATCTCATTTCCTCCCCACCAATTCTCTCCTGAGTATTTGCTTTCAAGCAAAGAGAGGAAGGACCTGTGTCCACAACTTCAGATTCCAGCCACCAAGTCCCAGCTTATTTAATCTGTTCTCTGTCTGGATATAAAGTCAAGGTTGCTACAACCCCTTTATCAGGTTCAATTAATGGGCTAAAGAGAGTCAAGAGTTCAGGGAAATGTTGTGGAAATTACTTTAACTAGGCAAAGATGTATTACATGTGTTTATGTCGCACTTGTTTAATTATGAAAAGATGTGTTGCAGTTGCACCTTGCCTGTCTAAGGCACCGACTGGTCTAATAAAAAGCTGAACATTCAATAACTACGCAGAAAAAAGGATAGGTGGGGCTGGCGGCAGCGAATGGGTAGGAGGAGAAATCTAGGCTCAGGAGAAGAAGAAAGGAGAGAATGAAGGACACACTGGGGCAGGGAAACCAGACACATGGAGAAGCAGTGAAAGTAAGATTCACAGAAGGAAAGAAAGGTAAAAAGCCCTGAGGCAAAAGGCAGATGAAGACAAACAGGATAATTTACAAGAGTTAGTGGGACAAGCATAAATTAGGCTGAGCACTCATAACTGATAATAAGTCTCTGTCATGATTTGTGAGCTGCTGGGTGCCCCCCACCAAAAAAAAAAAAAAGCCTGGTACAGGAAACCGGCTGGATATTTGCAAATATTTATTATAAAGGATATTGGTGTATAGCACAAGGGATAGGGGAGGGAGTGCAGAGATTCCATGCCCTACCCGGTGTTCCACACTCAGAAGGCCTCCATATGTTTAGTGACAGGAAGCTCTCCAAACCCTGTCTTTTCTGGATTTCCCTAGAAGTTTCATTATATAAGTATGATAAACCAAATCTCTGGCCACCGGGATCAATTCAATCATTAGCCACTCTTCCTCCTCAGAGGCACCAACTCTTTAGATATGGTTGGTCTCCTGGCAATTACCCCTGCCAATTCTGTGGTTAGCTAGGGAGCTTTTTCAAGACATTGCAGAAAGTCAGGTCAAACGGCTAATTTGACAAAAGGTATCGTCCCATATATTAAATTACAAGGGATATGTGAGCTCTGAACCGGGAAGGACAGATGAAAACCAAACCTCTGGGGTGTGTGTGTGTGTGTGTGTGTGTGTGTGTGTGTGTGTGTGTGTGTGTGTTCATGTGTGTGTTCATGTGTGTGTTCGTGTGTGTGTGCATGCGCCCGAGCAAACTGCCGGTATGTGTGTGTTATATCATACCATTAACACAAAATGACCTCAATTTCCTGCCAAAATAAGCAAAGGGTTAAGGAACAGCCCTGAAGGAAAGATTATCATGAACAAAAAGCAGGCACTGCACTAATCTCAACCTCACAGGTACTTACCCAGGTAAGCATTGTTACCCCCTGATGATGAAATCCAGGAAGAATAGGCAGTATGTGGGAAAATCCGGCTGTGAATTCAGGTGCGTCTAACGAGCACTCCTTTGTCCACAGCCACTCTGTTGTGCTGTGTTCAATTTAGAAATTACTGATAAAGTCATATAACAGATTATCCATAAGATAAAATGCACTGGGCATCTACCATCCATCTCAGGGAATTATGGTGAAAATTTACCCAAGCATTTTGTGCTTTCTACTCTGATCTCATTCATTAGCACCATGCCATGGATGAGCTGAGATCCAGCAAGTACCAATTTACTGGCGCGGGTGAGGAGCAGGCAAGAAGGTTCCCAGCGCCTTTTGTGCCATGCTGCTGGAGAAATGTCAAAGGCTCTAGCAGATCCTGTTTTCCCTCAAGCTCAAAAAGGGACCTGCCGTTCCAGAGTCTGTGATTCAGGGCTGATGAACAGAGGCCCAGGCAAGTCCTAAGGGGAGGAAAGGCCAGGTTTTGAAGTGTTTGTGGTTGCCCGGGTACTGCGAGAGTTGGCCACAAACCTAGAACCATCTGGATAGCAGGGAGGGAAAAGAAGATGTTCCCATTTGGGCAGAGAAGGCTCCAAAAAAAAGACTTCTAAAAATACTACATTTGGGGTAACTTCTGGCCCAGAAACAGCTGTCCCTCACCCCTCCCAAGGCCTGTAAGGTCAAGAGCAGTTGCAAAACCCAGAGTTCAAGTGGAGAACCTTAGGCTTGGAATGCCTTCCACTCTTTGGCACAAATCAAGAACCAGATGGCTCCCACCTGCCACTGGTGGGAGATGTGGGAAACGCAGGTGAGCTCCTGAGTTATCTGGGTCATGCTGGGGCCTTAAGGAGCAGGGTTGCTATCTTGGGTTGGGTCCTGTATCCAAGGACCTGCAACAGGAGGAGTCAGGTGCGGCCTCTTCCCTGCCAGAAGGCCAGGGTGATGTGAGCTGCAACCCCCGTGGCAGCCTGCTGTGTTTTCCATGCCAGCTTCAACTGGAAGTAGCCATCTGCCCCAGTCTGGGGGACCCTGAAATAAACCCTCCACAGTGAGGCCAGCACTGTTCTGCCAGGTGACCTGAAGTGTTCTAGAAAATGTCCCTTACAGGGTTCCGGAGAACGTTGGTTGTGAGGACAAATGGCAAGCTGCTCTCTTTACCAGTTCCCTTCCATCTTTCTTTCCTCTGTTTTTCTTTCTTTTCTGAGAGAAACCCAGGCAATATGACTCTCACCCACTACCATCATGCTTCCTCAGGCCTCTTAAGAACTTTAAAGTTTTTTGCCAGGCTTTTGGTGGCGCACGCCTTTAATCCCAGTACTCGGGAGGCAGGGGCAGATGGATCTCTGTAAGTTTGAGGACAGCCTGGTCTACAAAGTGAGTTCCAGGACAGCCAGGGCTACATAGAGAAATCCTGTGGGGGGGGGGGAGACAAAACAAAACAAAACAAAAACAGCAAAACCTTTAAAATTTTGTTGCCTAAGCTAGGGTCTAATGTAGCTAATGCTGGCCTGAACTTCTTATGTATCTGAGGATGACTTTGAACTCCTGATCCTTCTGCTTCTACCTCCCAAGTATTGAGTTTACAAGTTTACATATGTTGCACTGGGGATTGAACCCAGGTCTTTGTGCATAAAGACAAACACTCTACCAAATGAGGTACATTCCAGCCTTCACTGAATTATTATTATTATTATTGATTTTTTGGAGACAGGGATTCTTTGTACCCCCAGCTGTCCTGGAACTTGCTCTGTAGACCAGGCTGGCCTCAAACTCAAGAGACCCAACTGCCTCGGCCTCCTGAGTGCTGAGGTCCTCATCAAATTATTAATGCAGAAAGATGTTATGATCATTAAGAGCCAAACAGCTTGACATCTAAAAGATGGAAGCATGTCTGAAACTTTTTGCTTACTCAGACAAATAGGAGGTACTTAATAGTAAGTGGTAATATGTATAAGTTATCAAAGCTTTGTTTGTATAATGATTTTTAATTATCAAAGTGATTATTATCTACCTCTTGTAATTCTTACGGCAGTGTGTGTGTGGTGTGTGTACCTGGAAATCAAACTGAGAGCTATCACACAGGCTAAGTTACAAAACAGAAGAACAGTGTATGTGTACAAGTGTACACGTGTGGAAGTCAAAGACCAACTTGAGTAAGTTGGTTCTCTCCTTCTGCCATGTGGGTCTCAGGGGTCAAGTTCATCAGGCAGGTGCTGTTTCCCCACGGCGCATCTTACCGGCCTTAATTATCTTTATTGTTATCATTACGCCTCATTTTGCTTAGAGCAGAAGCTGGACTTGTTCCCTGAGCCCAGAAGCTCAGGCTTGCCCTTTTGCTGGTCCCATACTTCAGTAGTGCCTTAGTAATACCTGCTCTCTGCCCACGGGAACACAACAGTCCCACCAACCACCATCGGGCTCAAAGCAGAAGACACCCAAATCTCCCAAGAGGAGCCCTCATAGCAAGAGATGGCCCTCCTGCTGAGTTTGCAGGTTATACACCAAGGAGGTAAGAGGAGACAGCCCAACAGCGCTGGGAGACTGGCCACTCCTATCCAGACAGCTGCAGTTCCGCTCAGGCAGGACAGTCTCAGCTGGGGGAACTGCTTTTACTTACTATGGTGGTGAAAAGTCGATATGTCTTTAGCTGCGGTTTGCTCAGCCAGGGTAGGGTGGGGTTGTCCACACTGCCCCCAGACAGCACTCCTTCCTCTTCTTTTTCCTCTCTCACTATAAATCACTACCAGAGCAGGAACTACTGTGGTGCCCTCTGCTGGCCCCACCTGCCCCTTCACTCCTCAGCAGTCCTGTGGATCGGCGGGCCTCAACACTGGACTGCCCATCTGACCTGCCTGCACAGCCTGTTAAACAAGGATGTCTGCCCCACCCAGACAACCCACTCAGACTCTCCCAGGGAGGAGCTCAGCCTTTTTTTGTTTTTAAAGCGCCCCAGGATTCCTGAGGCAGAATCAGACAGCAATTGCAAAGGTCAGAAGCCCAGAGAAGAAAAGTGTATTTTAAGCAAAGCCTTAGAGTTCTCTCTGTACAAAGGACATAGGCTCAATTCTATCACAAACTAGCTGTCACTACCTTTGCACCTGTTACTTAACTAACCTATCTGATTTTCAGTCTCCTCAAATGTAAATTCTGTTGAAACCGGGTTAAGAGTTGCTTTGAGAAAGTGAATCGTTTGTGCAAGCACCCTGTTCACAGTTTGTGCCACAGCCTCCCAGCAACTCAGTCCAACTTGACGTGAACTTTTCTCGGAAACCTCAGCACCTAACATAGAATGACTAATAAATGCTTGCTAAAAGAATATCAGAAGCCCGCCAAGAAGCCACAAGGGTAAGCCATAAAGACTGGGGGGAAGGGGGTATTTGAATAGTGAATCCAAATATACAACAGCCACAGGAGAAGCAAGGCTGCGTTGGAAGATCCTAAATGCGGCGAAGTCACCACTAAGGAGAATGAAGTCAGCGATCTGGCAGGTCGGAGGCAGCCTTAGCTAAAGCCCTGACAGCTGCTGCCCAGCAACTGTTTGGGGGGCAGGGTAACTGCAAAGGGGGGCAGTCCTGCCGCTCCCTTCCCAAGGCCCAGACTCCCGACGACAGGTTGTCAGTGGCATGTGCTATTTCGAACAACACATGCCCTGCCAAGCGCTTCATAGTGGCGTCGCAAGGCCAGTGAGATCTGGGTGCCCAGAGAGGGGCTCCAACTGGGGTGGCAGGAGGCTGGATCATGGGGCTAGGGTATGGCTCAGCACTGACTTCATTCCTAAATCTGGCAGCTGCTCCCTCTACTGGACCTCAGCTCTCGAACCCACTTTCTCCCGGAAACCCTCTTCTCCTGGGTTACCTAGTAACAACGCCTCCGGTTGCATAGCAACGAGGATTCGGGTTCCAGGCTGGCTAAGCCCCAAGCTCCACGTTCGACCCCTCCCCACTCAGGCTCACAGGCCTCGCGGCTCCGCCCTACTGCCGCTTGCAAATCTGTCCCTTGAGCTGCATCCACAGAACGGATCTCGGCCCGCACTCACCCTGCTCCGGCCACCGCTATCCTTCACGTGCGACTTCGCTGAAAAACGCGCCAGCAAACCCGCGCCTCAACTCCCGGGGTGTTGGTTTAGAGTCTGCGCATGCGCGGGGCGAGTGCGCTGGGAGACAGGCGTGCCCCTTTGCTGCTGGAGAGTACGCCGTGGGCGCATGCGCTTTGCTCGCTCCATTATGGTTTGTGTGTATGCGTTTCCCTCCCAAGCTTTTCCAAGGGAAGAATGGCGTCGGAAATTGGAGCTGGAACGGAAGCAAAGCCTTTGGCAGAAAAGGGGAAAAAACTATCGAAGCCGTGGCGTAGGGAGTGTCGGTGTTTGGTTCGGGATTAGGTGCTGATCCGAGTCTGCCACGCATTTAAGGCAGCACAATTTCCCGAGCCATGGATGCTGCTCCTGCGGCATCTCGGGAAGTGCATTTCTTAGGCGGGGCTCTGGAGAGCACCTGGAAGGTTGAGAAACCTTTTGTGCTGAAAAGGTGCAAAAGGTCTTAGTGGACACTTTAGCAGGGCACTGTCTTGGGGTAATGCATCCGCCACGGGAGAAAGCAAAACCTCACTCCAGTTGTGCAGGTGCCCCCCCAAGCTTTGCTTAGACTTAAAAGCAACCCCAATCCCCCACCCGCCGCCGCCGCCCTAAGGTAGCTTTGTGAATAGGGTAGGCGCAGAGATTTAAAATTTTAACTTACATGTGTTTGTTTTGTGGGGGAGTGTGTGGGAGTTTGCGCACCACAGGACTGCTATGGAGATGAAAGGAGTCTGTTCTGCTGTGTGGATCCCATCGGATTCAGGTTGTCACGCTTGGCAACAAGCTCCTTTATTGCTGTGCCGCCTCAGCTGCCCAGTGTGGTTGCTGTTGTTTTTAATTCCCGTCAGTGGCTGCCATAAGACAGCACCACCCCCCTTTAATGTTAAAAGTCCTTCAAAAGCAAACTCTGCCCCACACCATCCTCGAATCAGCCTTCCAAGTCTCCCTTCACCCCGAATCGGTCGCCTCATGCAGTTGTTTCTCCATCAGATGTTTCTCAGACTCATCGTCTTCATCTACACCTTTGGCTGCTTCCTGCCTCCCAGTCTGGAGTCTTCCAGAATCCGTGCTGGTAGACTCCTCATCCTGGAGTCTTCTAATAGTTGCAACTTGATATTTGCTTGTGAAATTTCTCCTTCCAATTCAGTTTGCCTCTATAGAAAAGATTCCAGGCATGGTGGGGTAGTGGTGGTGCTTCTAGGTTCTTCCCAGATTGCAAGTACCATGGGAAATTAACATAGGGCCAAACTTTGATGTAAGATGGAAAAAAATGGAAATGTATAGGAACATGGGAAGGGAAGGGAGGCCCTCACTCTAAAGTCCAGTTAAAGCCTCCTACTAGCTTAGAATCAAGATTCCAACACAGTTAACAACGACTCAAGGCATTTCTCTCTTCCTAACTGTAAGCCTACAAGTTTCTAGGAACTTCACTAGAAACTCCCATTTACAATAAGAAGGACATGTCGTAATCCTCCCCCACTCTGTGTAACCCTAGTAGATTATATGGCTAACTCAGTCACTTTTGGAGCCACCCTAGAAACTCACTTACTAGAAAGAGAGTAAAGGATAAAAACCATTCTTAACAACCCTTTACTGTAACTTAAGAGCCACCAGAATGTTTTGTAATTGTGACTCGAGATTCCTGTATACATACTTGGTTATGTCTTATTCTTTCCCTGTGTCTTTCTTTCTTAAATCTAGTTCCATATATATATCTTTAATAAACCTCAACTCTGCTTCATACTAGCTAGCCTTAAATTCTTTTCTGGATTGAAAAAAAAAGGATCAAAGGTGTTGCAAGCCTTTAATCCCAGCACTCTGGAGGCAGAGGCAGGTGGATCTCTGTGAGTTGTGAGTTCAAGGCCAGCTTGGTCTACAGAGTGAGTTACAGGACAGGATCAAGTTTTACCTTTCAGGCTCTCTAGAAGATTAAAGGAACTCTCCAACTTTTGTGAGTGGCAGTGTGGAGCCTGCCACCACCAACCCAGGGAAAGAGAACAAGTTCATCTAATCCTCCGCTGTCAACTGTTTCAGCTGGCAGTTTCAGAGACTCTGCTACCTTAGCTAATCCTCTGCTGTTAGTCCTTACCCATGGCTACTGACTCTGCCCAGAAACAGAGATATTTTGGGGGGTTTTGCCAATGTGCCTCCATATTTCCTAAGGAGCAGCAGAAGCTCTTGCTTTAGAACAAGGCAGAGAAGTCCCTTTTGAGGGACTTTCGACACCTTATCACTCCTTATCACCCCTGACTTCCTTGCTGGAATTGAGGAAAATGACTCACCAAAGTATGGCATTTGGCATATGTTCTAGTTTGCTTTCTATTACTATGAAAAACACCATGACCAAAAGCAACTTGGGGAAGGCTTTATTTGGCTTACGTGCCCTGATCACAGTCTATCATTGAGGGAAGACAGGGCAGAAACTAAAGAACTTGGAGGCAGGAACTAAGCAGGAGAGGCCATAGATGAATGCTGCTTCCTGGCTTGCTCAGCCTGCTCTCTTACACAACCCAGGACCACCTGCCTGTGGCACTGCCCCTAGAGGGCTGGGCCCTCCCACCTCTATCATTAATGAATAAATGTCCCATAGATTTGCCTGTGGGACAATCTTGTGGAGACATCTTCTCAATTGAGGTTCATTCTTCCCAGATGGTCCTAACTTGCATCAAGTTGACCAACACTAGCAACAGCTAATGTACCTCTGAACTAGAGACTACCAGGAGCAGGCTGAGAAAGCAATGTCTCTGACCTCTAGATCCTTCTGTCACTTGTCACTTTTCCCCACCCCCAAGTGTAGGGAGGGGCCTTCTCTAAGTATCCATATTGGCCTAAAGATAGTCACCCCCATAAAGGAATCCTGTTGTCATGAGCCCCTTGTCTGGAATTCCAATCAGCCTGGGAAGGTTTCCTCACAGGGAAGAAGACATGTCAATCTAACTCTTCCCCCTTTCTTTCTTTATGTTTGTTTTGTTTTGTTTTGTTTGTTTGTTTTTCAAGACCAGGTTTCATTGTGTAACTCTGGCTATCCTGGATCTTACTCTGTAGACCAGGCTGGCCTTGAACTCAGAGATCCACCTGCCTCTTCCTCCTAAGTGCTGGGATTAAAGGTTTGTGCCATCACTGCCTGACTTCTTTCTTTCTTCCTTTCTTTCTTTCTTTCTCTTTTCTTCCTTCCTTCCTTCCTTCCTTCTTCCTTCTCTTTCTTTCTTCCTTGTTGTTTGTTTTTGTTTTGAGATAGGGTTTCATATAGTTCAGGCTAGCCCCAACTCAACTGTTCAGCTGAGGATGACTCATCTTGCTCCTACCTCCAGAGCACTGAGATTACAGGTGTTTACTGCCATGCCTGCTTCAGTCCTGAGGTGGAACCTGGGGCTTCATGCACACTAGGTAAGCCCTTTAACTAACTGAGCTATGTCCTCAGTTCATAATTACACTTCTGAACATCCTCAGAGCAACTTTTATTATCTGAGAGACTGTGTGTATACAGGAATGGAGCCCCATGACCTTGATAAGTGAGGCAAGTGCTCTGCTCTCTGCCTCTGAGATACATCCCCAGCCATGGTTTATCCCAAGTTCATTTCTCCTCTTTCTTTCTCATTACTTGTCACCACTACACACCCAGAGGCCCTGAGCTCCCACTCCCTACTGCAGCCCAGGATGGTATCAAACCCTCATTTACCTGGCCCGTCACTGCTATAGTTTTGTGGGACTCTGGCTTATATATGTTTAATTAAAATTTGTTTTACTTCTATTTATCTACAACAATTTT